GGGACTCAGAATTTTTCTTTGTCCCACACTTGTGTCATGTTGATCACTTCACTTTTCACATTTTATTACGCAGCTTAAAATTCACCATCTTTATTCACTTATCATTTCTGTTTCTGCTCATTAAACCTTTTAAATAGTTTTTGGTGGATGAAACATTAATGAGTCATGACACAAACATGTACTAGCACAGCTATATTACAATAATTGTTGATGAAAACCAATGAATCTAATAATGCTTTGCAATTATTTAGGATCCAGCAGATGCTGTGAAAAAGATTGCCAAATTCATTGGTAAAGAAATCTACTCAGAAATGATCTCATTGTCCAACAAACTTCATTTGGTGCCATGAAGAGCTCTGAATATACGAACTTTAGTTAGTTTGAAGGAACGAAGGGGGATGGCTACATTTGCAAGGGAAAAGTAGGAGAGTGGAAAAAGTACTTCACTGAGGAACAGAACGAGTTATTTGATAAAGTATTTAAAGAAAGAATGGAAGGAACAGGGGTTGAATTTGACACTTAAGAAACTTACCGTCATCATTACTAGCATAGGTTACCTCTTGAGTGAAAGTTGTAAATAGTTGTCTTTTATGCTGTAACTAACCATGTCAAGTATACTTAGAATTAATATTTTTACAATTGGAATTTTATAATTCTTATTTAATAGTATAGGTGTCCCCTTTTAGCTTACTGTTTTACAGTGAGCTAGAATTTTGACATGTTAATAAAGTTGTTTATTTTATTTACTTTATTTATCACTTAATGAGTAACTAGAAGATTCGATGCCTTTAGCGCTAGACTCAAGTTGATGTTGTAAAGGTTTTCAATCTGTTCAATAATAGAACTCACCTAAAAAAGATGGAGCAGTTCAGTAAACTGCCTTAGGAAACTAAGAAACTAATGAAAATTGGCACACTTATGTTTGAAGTGAGGAGTATTGCTGGACAGGAAAGAAACAGGCTGGAACAAGAATGGGGAAGTGTATAACAACAGGGGAGTACAGGAAATCTTTTACAACTTCTGTTCTAATGCTAGCCACGCATCTATGGTAAGAACATTTTAACCTGAGTCTGTGAAAACCATTATGATATGTGGCTCTAGTAGAAATATTGCTTCCCACTGGTATTGGCTATGATGCTAGTTCAGTGAAGGCTGAACACACAGTAGGTGTACAATTGGAAATCTTTTAGAGACATGTACATTAAGATTTCTCCTGATCATCGTCCACTTGCTTGTCCTTTTCAATTTTATCCACTAAGTCCTGCACTAGAAACTCCAGTGAATCACTTTCTGATAACCTTTTGACTGATTCCCCCTTTTCAGCCA